GTCGTTACTTCGAGTGAATCGCATACACAACTACAACGTTTGCCGACGTTCGCCATTACATGCACACTCGAAAAGATCACGTGACTTAAACGCGGGAACAAAACGGCGGGAAAAATACATGAACAATACAGGGAACCCAGCAACAAAATGAAAGAATGAAAGATGCGAATGCAGCTATAACACCACAGGCAGCCCAAGCTCTCTCTATGAACCGCACAAGCAACACAATATGGCATCGAATTATAAGGGTTTATATGGGATTTTCTACAAGATATCCATGGAAGTAGTTAAAAGTGAAAATTCTCAATAAAAATGGCTTACCTTATTCCAGACGTGTTTTGTTTGCTCCTTGTGTGGTTATTTTACCGATTGAACTTGATTTAAGCGACTTTTTTGAATTCCGATTTTCCCTTTCAAAAAAGTCGCTTAAATCAAGCTTTCTGGGATAAGGTTGACGTTCAATAAGCCTGCTTGCTAGCACGACTTTTAGACTGGGGTTGATCCTTGTCAATGGGTAGATCCTTGTTTATCAGGCTTTCTTAATACAACTGCTTAAATAATAAGCATCTCATCAGAGATGTCTTTGAGAAAGAATTGACACCATGCATTCATACACATTGGTCTTTAAAATATTATGAGAAATATAAATAAATAATGCAATTTTGTTAAAATAATATTGTCCCATTCAATAGTTATTGTGAGCAGCTCCTGTATATTATCAGCATGTATAGGTAAACGCAACTTTTTGCAATGATGCCTCCCAAATCTGAGATTAAAAATGAGTATTGTTCAAATGGCTTCTCTTTGATCAATGTATCAATGATATAGCTTGTTTAGAACGTTAAGAAGAAGCAACCCCCCCCCCNCACACACACACACACACTGAAGGAGTGGTTGGACTATCCTACATGCCATTATATTAAAGAAGATTTTTGACGATAAATACGTAACAACTGTGCAACAACATTGTCAGTTTAAGCTGAAATAAATTAATTAGCCGTAAAGTTGAGTTACTGTTTCTGCCTTGTTGATCCGAAAGAGGCTTTGTTTTGTAACAGGAATTACTTATGGGGATCAAATGCCAAACATAGAAGAGAAAATTAGAGATTAGAAACAAGTAAATTGACACTGTACGTGATTTGGTAAAAATATGACTAATTTTAAACCACTTTAATGGTCTGCAAATTATTGGGACACTTTGTCACCCCAAACAATGAAATGCGGAGTTGTGTCACTCTCCAGGGAAGGGTGGGAAGGCAGGGGTGAAGTGAAAGAAACTTTTATTATTTTCTTATCCTCACAGAAACGTTTTACTGTACTTGTGTTTTTTTAAAAAAAGATTGATATTTGTGTGTACATTAGAGTGTGTGGTATGCCAATTCTAACTAACCAGAAATTTATTTTAAGTTTACCATATCCCTATGGTTACATTCCAAGGAGACAGTATGCTAAATAAATAAATCATTTACATAGGACTTTTATGCATTAGCCAGTGCAATGCAACGTTTTAGTAAATGAACCAATAACGACAAAGAATACAAACATTGTTCTATAACAAGATTTGACTTCCACAAAGAGGATTGGAATGTTGTGGATCACTCAGGACCTCAGTATCTTTATTGGCAATATTTTAATATTGCAAAAAAGGATTTCTTTCATTATTTTTGTCCCAAACTCGTGGCCATGATTTTTCTTGTTTACAACCATCCTGGAGCATATTTATGAAGAAGACTGACATGAAATTATGAGGAGAAAGATCTCTACAAGGAATATGACTGAATTTGTCCTACATGTTTTCATCTCCACAGTTATAATTAACAAAATTTAAAGTAGATTTGGTGGATGGAGAATTATTGATACAATACAATACAATACAATAAGGTTTATTAGCTTCCACAAGAGGATCTTCACACCAGTAATCTAGAGAGTATGTTTATGCATAATTTAACAACAGCATCAAAAATATTTCCATTAAAAATTACAGTTGGTTTGAATGAAAATGACTAATATCACTACAATATTTATGAAAAAGGTATGGTATTTAAAGTAAATTAACTCCAAAAACATATAGACAATTTACCTGAAAATAATTTCTTTCCTCATAATAAACTGTACAACTGCATAATTTAGTTGCATCGTAAATGCATATATAAATGGCTGGTAAAACATACTTTAAATTCTGTTTCAAAAATTAAGTACCACTGACATGGATTCTGGAAAATTACCATCCAGTTCTTGAGGTCATATGAAGAGATGCACATACACTTTCTCATACCATTCATGCTTAAAAATCATACATCCTGTCCAGTGTCATGCATTGTGGGGGGGTGGGGGAGTTGGGGGTGGGGGGTTTATTCATCAGAAATGGGGGGTGGGGGTGCTCATTGGATGTTTTCAAAAAAACCCCTAATGGGTACCAATATCCTGTTTTGTGGGTGTGGCTTGAATTTTTTTTCATCCCCAAGAGGTGCCAATTCTAAAACAGCACATTATCTCCTGTCATATTTTTGGGGGCTTTATACCCTAAAAGGTACCACAAAAGCTCACCTTGTGGACCTCTTGAAGCTGAACACCATAAGGGGTACTAAAACTACCTTTATAACCCGTAATTAGATAGAAGGCTATTCCACAAATATGCCCCACTGTGGCAGCATCTTTGTTTAAAAAAAATGGTACAGGGTTTGGGGAGAGCTAATTTGTTTTCAATATTTGTTAAAATAAGGGTTAAAATAGACCTTTTAGGTATTCTGGATTTTTCAATTTTTTCTTTTTCCTTCTCATAATAGAGATTACTCCATCCTAGTTTACTGCAGAGGGTGGTAGTGGTAATCAGACAGACCCTAAATAAAGTCCTGCAGCAATCTTGGTACCCAAAAAAGGTGCACCAAAATGTTTCTACCCTAAAACATCCTCATATCCTAAATTTTGTAGCTCAGCATCACCAATATACCTGACACATCCAATAGTTTGAAAGGCCTTTTAAATAACTAAATGACGAAATTTTTGTACCCTGATCTATACTTCGACTGTTTAAATCTACCCCTTTTTAGAATAAATCTACTGGCGTTCTATCACAAATGCTGTTCTCTGATTGGCTACACTACTCACTATCTATTCTGTGATACATAGTGAGTAGCGTAGCAGTGTTCAGTTTTAAACAAAATGACGGCCGCTTCTTTGCATTTTCAAGGTGTCTGTGAAGGGGATTTAGATAAAGTCATGAACGACTAGTAGATTTATCCTAAAACAATTTGATTATTCACTCTCGATTTCTATGCATGATAGAAATCTGGGGCTCATATTCTAATTGCTTAATATATGTACCTCCCAGCCTGAAAAAGGATCACTTTGGGTGCATGGAGTCTCCCCCTATAGTGCATTATGGTGAGTATACACCCCTGCTTGACATGCACCTACAAAGCTTGTAAATGGGAAGTATCCTCAACCCCTACCTAGCACCCCCTACAATGATGTTGTCTCTAGCTGCTTATAACGATTCTATAGTTTCACTACCCAACCCATGAACAAAATAGCACTGGACTTCTTAAGACAAATCATGAACAGAAATGGATGATCAGCACAAAAANGTGGTGGTAATCAGACAGACCCTAAATAAAGTCCTGCAGCAATCTTGGTACCCAAAAAAGGTGCACCAAAATGTTTCTACCCTAAAACATCCTCATATCCTAAATTTTGTAGCTCAGCATTACTAATATACCAGTGACACATCCACTAGTTTGAAAGGCCTTTTAAATAACTAAATGACGAAATTTTTGTACCCTGATCTGTACTTCAACTGTTTAAATCTACCCCTTTTTTGTATAAATCTACTAGCATTCTATCACAAATGCTGTTCTCTGATTGGCTATGCTACTCACTATCTATTCTGTGATAGATAGTGAGCAGCATAGCAGTGTTCAGTTTTTAACAAAATGATGGCCGTTTCTTTGCATTTTCGAGGTGTCTGTGAAGAGGATTTAGATAAAGTCTTGAACGACTTGTAGATTTATCCTAAAACAATAAGATTATTTGCTCTCGATTTCTATGCGTGATAGAAGTCTGGAACTCATATTCTAATTGCTTAATATATGTACCTCGCAGCCTGAAAAAGGACCCCTTTGGGTACATGGAGCCTCCCCCTATAGTGCATTATGGTGAGTATACACCCCTGCTTGACATGCACCTACAAAACTTTTTTTTTTTTTTCACTTTTCCACTTATAAAGCTTGTAAATGGGAAGTATCCTCAACCCCTACCTAGCACCCCCTACAATGATGTTGTCTCTTATAGTTGCTTATGACAATTCTATAGTTTCACTACCCGACCCATGAACAAAATAGCACTGGACTTCTTAAGACAAATCATGAACAGAAATGGATGATCAGCACAAAAAATTGGATTTCTCACAAAGCCTGTTGGAGCCATCATGACCACTGCTGTGGCTGCTGCAGCTTCTGCGCCCTTCTCATTCACTTCTACAAATGCCTTGTGGATGACATGGGACACATGGAGCTTCTCAGGACCTGGTGTCATGCCAGAGAAATCAGCCTTCAACTCATCAAACATGTCTGTTACTCCCATGTTTGCAAGAACGTCATTGACTGCAAACTGCTGAATCAGCTTGAATCTTGGAAGGGACACATCTACCTTTTGTGGGTGTGACTGTGATACAGATGCAAAAGCCTGTTGTAATCTTTCATGGGTGAGGCTTTCCTCCAACTTGGCCAGTCCATGGGTATCATGAGGCAGCAGGATGACCATGGAAAGATCTTCTCCTCGGTAAGGCATCTCAAGGATCTGACAAGCTAGGACCCTGCTATCGTCAACGTGCCTGAAATCTTTCATAAGGTGCATCATCTGTACATCAGTCTTCTCACTTTCTGAGACGACGAAATGCTGTTTGAAAGTCGCCTGTTGATCGAACTGGTTTTGCCAAAATCCCTTGAAGTAGATTGCATTCACCAAGGTTAGCCGAGTGTGTGCGTTAAATACTTTCTCAGCAATCAGATTCTTAATTTTCTGCTTCGTTTTCTCCTCGACCCAGTCGTTCACTTCTTTCTTAGCGCTATCTGGATCTGTCTGGTAATCAACCAAGGCTATTTCAGCGTGGAAAAATGTTTTCGTCCCCTCAACAAACTCTTGTACCAGGCTAAAATTCTTTTGCAAGAAAAGTCGATTTGCAGTTAGCAGTTCGCTGCTAGCAGTGTTGATTTCTAGGAGGGCATCGAGAAAGTCTTGTTCTTCGCTTCGAAGTTGATACTTAGACATTCCTTCCCAGTGTAGTGCCTTGGCCATCTGCACAGCTGTGTTTCCTCTTGTCCCCATTGAAGTCATCGCAAGTGCAGTGCTCAAACTGCTCGGCGAATAAAACAGGTTTTGGTCTTTAAACTGTTCGTCGTTTCTGAGAATTTTGTGGAGATCCGCGATGAATCGATTGTTTGCTTCGATAACAGCCTTCATTTTGCATCTAAGACCTACCACGTCTTTTCACAATTTCATTGATACAAACACAGTGTAAAACGGGCCATTGCATGACAAACTATAACTGGCGATCACGCGAGGGAAAGGGACTTGTTGCGTCACGCCATTCTCGATCCCATAGCCCTTTTCGCTCCTCTTAGCCGGCAGGGCCTTGGCACGAGAATCGAAGGGCTCTGAGGACATAGGATTTTCGCATTTTTTTTGATTGGCTGTTTGAAAACAAAGAAATCTTGAACGGAAGTCAGAATGTTCCAGCCGATTGCTGGCGCGAAAATATGGAACAGCTGTGACTAGCGGGGTTGAGCGGTGTTTAAAATGAAGGACATAGAGGATTTGGCCCATATATTGTTTAACTCACGGCTCAACACTTGTCGCTGTGGCAACAAAACGGTGTTTTTAGAAACCCCAGTTGATATTTTCGGCGAGGCCGAGCAGCAAAGAGCCGGAAATTTTAAAAGTGCTTGAATTTTTTTAAACTGGGTAAGATATTAAGTTTGGCAATGGTTTAACAACGAAACTTTGCGAACCATGTACAGAAAGGTGAAGAATATTAAAGAATTCCGTTCATTGTTGCTGGCATCACTTTCTTCGCAGGAATTGTCGATCGTAAGGTCTTGTGTGAAAAGAGTTTGTGGCTCGCAACAGGTTGGAGAATCACCTTCGTCGAGTCAGCACTCGACGAAGAGT